CAACATGTGTATCCAGTGTCTATGAACACACGCAGTCCATGCCTGTCACCTGTTAAAGTTGAGGCTCCTCCAAAATGACGGCATGCAAAGCAATAAACTGCATCTTCTTGCGCAGAATATTCAACCCAGTCATATTCCTGATACACACTGACATTAAAGCGTCTTCCATTTCTAGTTGGGAAGTGGGTCAAACGAGGACGCCTGAGTCCGTCTGTTTTACATCCACTAATATCCTTCTTCTCTGCTCCAGTTGACCCAGAGGCTGCTACTGCTGCTGCACCCGGGCCTTGACCTTCCTTATCGCTGTCCACGTCTGATCCAGCTCTTTCAATCTGAGAAATTGGTGGGGACTCAGACTCGGATTCAATTCGAGAAGTCGGTGTGGACGAGTTCTCAGCCTCCATGCATGTAGTCTCCGTCTCCCTGTTAGCATCTGCATCCCCGGCGCAGGTGCTGGAGTGGCTAACAGCCTCGTTAACAGCTTGAATCCCACCTTCACTACCTGGTCCTTCTCCCTCTGCTGCTGGGGCAACATTGGAGCCATCACCTTCACCTGCCTTTTTTTTGATAAAAAAAGATTCTAAAGTTCTTTGCTTTCTTTTCATTTGAGTTAATTAGCTTAGCCGAAAAATAAAAAAAACCGCGATAACATGACCCGCTCTGACCTCCGGCGGTTCTCGTCAGGAGATACCACATTTCAAGATAGGGAGGGGGGATACGTTACGATAAGTATTGGGAAAGATAATATCTAGACTAGAGAAATCGATTGTGTTGTTCTGATTTTCATTTGTATTTAATTTATATGTATTAAATAATAGAATAATCAATACAAATTGACAAAGAGTAATTCCATAAATTTATTTTTTTAAAACGAACATTTACATTTTCCCCTGGAGCCAAGGTGTGGCAGCTGCCATACCTTGCCATACCCAATTGACGCCTCTGCCGGACACCCCAAGTTTTCCCTGAAGTTAGCCGGCTAAGTGAAAATCCTGCTTCGTAGTATACCCCCCTGGTACTAGGATGGGTTAAAAGCAGAGAACACATTTCACTGTGTGCTGTGTGCTCTGCATGTGTGACCATTAAAGAGGGTTTCATCCCTCCCAATATTATTATTGTATTTATAAAGTCATTCTAAACAAAGAAAAAATGTGATAAACTCACAAGTAAAGGCTTCTAAGGCACAACAGGTTGGACACGATTGAGTCCTTCTCCCAAGCCACATGAGACATTGTTTGTGTCTCAGAACTGTCCAGCCTCTTCCTGTTTACCATCTTTATTCCTGTGTTGCCAAATTCACACCAATCAAATGTGTTACTATGTCCATAGAAAGGTCACTTTCTGCAGTATTGGGTGCAATTTCATGCTATTTGGACTTATTAGTATGGAATTAGTATCAGTTCATGTAAAAATCACACAAGAACGAAATCCAAATTGTCTCAATATGTAATGGTACTGCACTTTGTCTTTACAATCCCAGTATACTAATCATTTGATATCTGTCCCTTCACAGCTGCCAGAGCAAAGTGTCTCTATAGTCTGTATAGAGGACGGATTGGAGGAGCCCTGCACGTATTCAATGCAGCTGTTCTGTTCTATAAAATGTGTTCAATTTGCTTGTATTTTTTTGGTTTTTCTCATTTATTATTTAGTCCATTACATTTTACACTTTTTTTGTGTTCTGCTATAGGCTATTTAGATTACATCATGTAAAATATTAACGTTGTAACCCATCTACACAATAAGATAAACAATTAATGATCTGCTCCAAACCAAAAATTACTACATATCAAAATGAAAAAAAAATGTCAATGTACAATTACTATCAAGACACGGCAAACCTGACTCAAATCTTTTTGATTCAAAATGCAAGAGGAAATATTGTCAATCCCACCACAAACAATTTCAAAACACCAGCAATTACATTACAAAAGCATAACTTTTCAGTCCAACCTGTAAAGACAATATGTAATCCATTGTTTTTCATAATTGTGTTAGTGTAAACCCCTCTATTTGTAAGTTGCAAAAGTCCTGGTTGCCCTGGTTCAAAAAAAGTGATATTGTTTGCAAACAGAAATATAAGTAGTACAGTCAAATGAAGAGAACATTGAAAGATAAAGTATGCACATCTCACTTTTTTCATTTGGTTAAAGAGATGTAACTTCTGCTAAGTGGACGTAATGAAGTTTGTGAACATTTTCCCTCAGCAGTTTTAGCTTGATGGTTTCTCCTGGGTATATTGATCCTCAGGTGTGTGTCCAGTGTGGACTTCTTTCATGTGTTTTAACAGACCACTGTTGTGTCTGAATACTCTCCCACATGTTGTGCAAATGAACGGCTTCTCATCTGTGTGGATTCTTGAATGCCTTGTCATTGTTGAACAGTAACTAAATCTTTTTCCACATGTTTGGCAAGTAAATGGCTTCTCACCCGTGTGGCTTCTTATGTGGACTTTTAACTCACTACTACATTTGAATCCTTTGCCACATGTTTCACAGGAATATGGCTTTTCACCTGTGTGGGTTCTACTGTGAATAGTAAAGGATGCTAAGTGACTGAATTGTTTTCCACATGTTTGGCAAGAAAATGGCTTTTCTCCTGTGTGGGTTCTTAGATGACTCTTCAATGTGGATATATAATTGAATCCTTTCCCACAGGTCTTGCAATCGTACGGCTTCTCACCTGTGTGGATTCTCAGGTGGAGGGTTAAGTTACATTTACGTTTGAAGCCTTTCCCACATATTTTGCAAAAATATGGCTTCTCACCTGTGTGGACTCTCAGGTGGATGGTTAAGTCACATTTACCTCTGAAGTCTTTCCCACACATTTTGCAAGAATATGGCTTCTCACCTGTGTGGACTCTCATGTGACTCTGCAATTTAGACTTGTACTTAAAACCTTTGTCACATATCTCACATTTTAATTTATGCAATATTGACTTAGTTGTGCTGTTAACATTGTAGCTTTGACTTTGAATAATGTTATCTCTCTGGTCTACTTCCGGCTCTGCGTGAGTTGATCCTGAGTCTCCATGCTTGCCAACTTTCTGATCTTGGCTCTCAGCTAGTGGAGAGTTGTGAGAGAGGAGCTGGTGGTCCCTGTTTGTGTATACAATCCCTTCTTCTGATAGTACATAGCATTGAAGTGGAAACTGCCCAGGAGGATTTTCCTCGCCTTGACTCTGAGTGTCACCGATGCTCAGGTTCAGAGTCTGATCTTCACTGTGATCACTTTCCATATAAGTCGGAGTCAACATAAAGTCATCAGCCTCCTGCTTCAGTACAAGCTGCTCCTCACTGCTGCACAGCTCCTCTTGTTCCTCTTTAATCTGTGGAGGCTCTGGGTCCTCTTGGTTCACACTGTAGTTTTTCTCCTGAATGCAGAGCTGCTGCTCAGAGAGAATCTCCTCCTCCTTACAGACATGTTGCTGAGGGAGCTCTGGAAGGAGACAAAATACTAAATAACACTTATGTAAACGTTAGGAAACAAAGGCTACCCCATTAGTTCTGGTATATATTTGAACAGTTATGTTATATACCGAGAACACCAGTGTTGTGACATTTACGGGAGCGTTTACTCACCTATCCTGTGTAACTTTATTGTGGGTAAGATGTTCAACAGTCTGCGCTGACGATCAATCTCTTCCTCGTACTCGACGATAGTTCTTTCAAAGACTCCTAATATTTCTTCAGCAGCAGCAGTCAGTCTCTCGTTGACAAACTCTCTCAAACTCGGAACTGCAGACATTATTATTGTTTAGCTTCAACCCGAAAACAGTTCAGTAATACGACTACAATATATGCGTTTGAGGTAATTCTTCTTCTTCTGGTTTAATGGCGGTTGGCAAACAGCTATAAATTGCATTTACCGCCACCTTCTGGAATGGAGTGTGGATCAGTACGGTTTTAATAAATGTAATCTAAATTCTAGATATTTCCTTTTTACTTCTGTTGTTTCTCCAACTTTGTTTTGAATACTATAAAGATGTCTGTCCTATAACTCCTCTGTCCCATTCTTCCTGCCATTTCTTTTTGAGTTGGGATTGTATCATGCTTTTGATTTCAGCCTTACTATATTTCACATTCATACTACTTTGTATTTTCCTTGTTGCCAACTTTGCATACTTGTCTGCTAACTCATTCACCTCCACCCCAATGTGTGCAGGGATCCATATGAAGTAAATTATTTTTCCTTCTCTTGATATTCTTTGTAATGTTATTGCTATTTCCAGTATTATATCTTGTCTCTGAATGCAGTTGTTGAATGCTTTTCAATGCACTGCTCAGTGTTGTAGTCGAGTCACCAATTCACGAGTCCAAGTCACTCTCGAGTCAACACTCTTCGAGTCCAAGTCCGAGTCACCTAGGGAGAGTCGTAGTCGAGTCCGAGTCCAAGTCCGAGTCATCATTACCTGTGTTCGAGTCCGAGTCCAAGTCACCCAAGAAGAGTCCAAGTCAAGTCCAAGTCACAGGTCTTCATGTATTAATCTTCGTGGACAGGGTTCGAGTTACGTGGGTGCCAATGGGAGCTGAGCTCCCATAAGGAGGGGCCTGAGCTCCCACGGACCCAGTGAAATCAAACATCTCTGGGGGTCGCTAATATACATTACCAACAACCATTATTTTGATCACAAATAATGCATTTTTCAATGTAATGAGTATTATTTACGTTCACGAGGTAAATAGGCAAACAAAACAATGTTTTCCAAAATAATTACGCATCGTATTATCTCTTGAATGACAATATGCCTGCACTTCGCCTCTAAGGTGCGCAATAAAATATTGCGCAAATATCTATGCCTGTGAGGCTGTGAACGTGCTGCGTGCGCATGAAGAATGAACCGTTATATCAACAGACATTCAAATATATTGACAAGATACACACATACATACTACGAGTACCGTAGGCTAGCAGACGATTACCATGCCGCCCAAAAAAAGGCCACTGCCGCCGACGGGGTCTAAACAAAAAGGGGGGTAAAAAGGTTCTGATGAACTAATTTTAGTTCCGGCTCTTTTTGCTGTGAGCGCGACATTTCGGTAATATATCGGAACTAAAGTGGGAAAAGTACTGCGGTGTGAACGCGGCTTATGCCTGTGACTGTGTGCGTGCGCGCCTGCACGTGCGCGTGCACGCACGNAGTGTCTCTGTTAGACGGCATAGCAGTGATTTGAACTAAACACTAACATCAGCTGCTTAATGCCAGCTTGTTTGCATTGTCAGTTGCATGTTAGCATGCTGATGTTAGTGTTTAGTTCAAATCACTGCTATGCCGTCTAACAGAGACACTAGAAAGGCTGACACTCTCTGTATTTTTGCAAAAACTATTTCCAAATTATTATAAAGACATTATATTAAAGTAATAATCTATCAAGCATTCAAACGTGTAGTCACTCTCTGAAGGGAAATTCTTCTTCTTTAAAACGTAGGTCTTATTTTTGCTTATTATTAAGATTGGGACAAATGGAAAAATGGCTATAGACTAACTGCAAGCAAGATTCAATATGTTTACTAATAAGGACAGAAACAATTCCCTAGTTGTTATCTTCAGGAGATTGTACATCATGTCACTCTGCATAACATAAATCCAATGATAGTTAGAACATATTAACATTACATTACATTTAGCTGACACTTTTATCCAAAGCGACTTACAATAAGTGCATTCGACCAAGAAGATACAAACTTGAAGAAGACAGAATCAAAACATTTCAAGTGCTACTCAACTAGCTTTAGATAAGCCAGTCCTTTATTAGTATATAAGTGCTTTGTTAGTAATTGTATTGCTCGAAGTGGAGTCGAAAGAGATTAGTTTTTCTTCTGCGACGGAAGATGTGTAGGCTTTCTGCTGTCCCGATGTCAAAAGGGAGCTCATTCCAACATTTTGGAGCCAGGATAGTAAACAGACATGTTTTTGCTGATGGGAACTTGGGTCCCCCTCGCAGTGAGTGTGCAGCGAGCCGTTTGCCTGATGCAGAGCGGAGTGCACGTGCTGGGGTGTACAGTTTAACCATGTCCTGGATGTAGGAAGGGCCAGATCTATTCGCAGCATGGTACGCAAGTACCAGTGTCTTGAAGTGGATTCTAGCAGTTACTGGAAGTCAGCGGGAGTGGCGTGGTGTGGGAGAATTTATGAAGGTTGAAGACCAGACGAGCCGCTGCATTCTGGATGAGCTGCAGAGGTCGGATGGCACATGCAGGTAGACCAGCCAGGAGGGAGTTGCAGTAGTCTAGGCGTGAGATGACGAGAGCCTGGACCAGAACCTGCGTCGCTTTCTGGGTCAGCTGGGGACGTATCCTCCTGATGTTGTAAAGAGTGTATCTGCTGCAGCGGGTTGTAGCAGCTATGTTTGCAGTGAAGGACAGTTTGTTACCTAGGGTCACACCCAGATTCCTTGCAGTCTGAGTCGGGGAAACAACAGAGGTGCCAGTTTACATTTGACTAACCTGTCAGAAGTCCTAAAAGTAGGAACTCGGTTGACTTGGTCACAACTTCCGTACAGCTTGTTTTCATCTCGAGGCAAACTGAAACTCCAGAGCCAGTCAAACATCTCTGGAGGTTTATTCTGGTTACAGAAAGATTTCTGAATCACTTAGTCATGTCTATAACAAGCTTTTGATTACGCTGAACTCCCAAAGCCTTTAGCCAGTGCTTCTCTTCTCTGCTCAAGGCATTTCAATGTGGTCTGGGATTAAGCCATTGAACCTACACTTTTAAAATGGAGGAAAAAGGACATAAATGACTTTTTTGATAGACAATGCAACATTTAGTCTATTCTCTGTGCTCTTGGCTCCAATCCAACAATGTCTCTTAAAAACTTTTTCCATCTCTCCAGCCTGTGTCTCTGGTAGGCAGTAAAGTGTACCACACAGGTTCCCAACTATTAACAGATCAAACCTTTCTCACACTTTTGCTCTCCCAGTCTTTGTGGCCATCAAACTCCAAATCTGTTGCTCTAATCTTTGTCGCCTCCATCCAGAAACCCAGAGCAGGTTCAATCCGACCTGCAGAGCTCCATAGGGAGGTCACAAGCCAAACCTCTGCTTTTGTGGTCAAAGCTTTGGAAGGAATCATTTAATTTGTTTTTATTATTTGTGTGTGCCTACAGTTATTTACAGGGCTGCACTGACTGTAAAAGATTGGTTTTCTCTGCAGAGGTGAGATGAGCGTAAAAAGAAAAAGGACAAGAGACTAAACCAGATGGCAGGACGAGATGAAGAGGGGAGAAGCCGGTTCTTGGCTCGGTTCGTTCTCTAGCAGAGAGCCAAGCTGAGGCCGGCTGCCCAGGAATGCAGCTGGAATCTGAAGCCTCTGCTTAGTCCATTGGCGTCCCGCAGAGCTTAAAACTGCTTATGCATTGTTATCCCCTTCTTTAGCTTTTTGACTTTGTGTGTCTCAGGTTATGAAGAAGTGGTCAGAATTCCTAAAGGCTCAGTGTTCATCCACATACAAGAGCTCAACATCTCCCTCAACTACCTTGGTAAGATTATATTCAAGCTTATGTTTAGTGTTATTGCCTGTACATGTGATGAGTTAGAGAAATATACATATACTAAGTAAAGTACTTCATTTATCCAAAAGGAAATTGTTTTACAGCAGGTGAAATTAAAAGTTGTAAAGCATGCAAATAAACAGAATATAAGCAAAATAAAATGATGAAAAAATGATCAGGAATCGTTATAGGTTTTTATCTGAATGTCTTAACTTTACTCTGAATACTCCTGCCTTCCTACCATTCATTTCTTCCTTCGTATTGTCCCTCTCCTCTGGTTCCCAGTGCTAAAGAGTAAAGGGGACCAGTACTTCATCAATGGGAAGCTGACCATTGACACACCGCGTAGTTTTGATGTCGGCGGGACCGTCTTCCACTATAGGCGCCCCACTGACGGACCAGAAACTCTTGAAGCTCTGGGGCCAACAAACATGACCCTGATTGTCATGGTAAGAATTGATCAAAAATTCCGTGTTAACAAATTGGGATCTTGAAAAAGTTTAACCATCATGTATTTTAAACGTTTGAATATTCAGGTGCTGGTGCGTGAGGAGAACCCGGGGGTCCACTATCGCTTCAACCCCCCGATGAACAGGGAACCTCTAACGGGCTTTGCCTGGCACTACACCTCCTGGTCCCGCTGCTCAGCCCTCTGCGCTGGAGGTGCACGCACGCACGCACGCACGCACACACACACACACACACACACACACACATGCAGGATTAAATCCATTCATAAGTGTCCAATGTCACATAAAAGTTAAGGGTAAAAGGGCAAAAAAAGTAGAGTCCCTATTGAGGCATTTGGGCAGATCACCGACTCTGAGATTGGAGATATCACACATTGCTAATCTCCTTTTCCTTCACTGACCTTTTTTAGTTTACGAGCTAATTTTCTCCTCTGAGAAGTAAATGGGGTCCTAAAGGAGACAGCCTGTTAAATCGTGTCACTTTTTCTATGAATGACAGTTTTACATAAACACTAAGGCAACACTGTCTATGGCAATAGACTGAGAGGAAGTAAGAGATAAAAAAATGCTGTTAGACCAGATTTATTTTCGCTTTGTCTTCCATACTAAAGCTTTGCTAGCACTATCATAGATCTTGGATTACCCGGGCCTTTCCCACATAACTAATAATCGCACTGTGGCAGGTTTCAAAACAACATGGAGATGCTAACGTATCCACTCACTTTATAATGCCTATGTGTGTCATGTTGTCGCAGGTGTACAGACACAGCAGGTGGTGTGTAGGAAGCAGGCAGATCATTCAGTCGTCTACAATCACTTCTGTGACAAGAAGATCAAACCTAAAGAGAGGA